TGAGCAGGGGGGTTGGACTCGATGACCTCTGAGGTCCCTTCCAACCTTCGGCATTCTATGATTCTATGATTAACTGATCAAAGCATTCAATGCACCTTTTTAACACAAAAGCTGACTTTGCCCTTGTGGCATTTCATGGTTTGCAGATGTTATCTGTCTGGCAGTGCCTCTGTTGCCTCCAAATTACATAACCTGGTATGTGAGGGAATGTTCAGGTAATGCAATGGCTATAGAATATTGTCTTTTAGAATATAATCAGGAAGTCAAGCACCGCAAGGAAAACATTAAAATCTTGATTTTTTTTTTCTCACTTCACTGAAAACGCTTCAGGTGCTCTCTCAGCCAAGTTAAGCAATGAGCAGTCAGGCAGCCCACACATTTGTGCTTCTTGCTGCTATTCACGTGTGAAGTGCAGCTTTGCTGAGCAGGAGGACTGTGCAAGGGCTGTCAAGGGTTCCTTGAAGCATTAGTCTTATCCACTGCACGTGTTCCTTCCAGCCCTACTGGCAGTGTTTATTTACAGACTGTTTTTTAAATGTGAAATGAGATTTTGTATTGCAGGGATATAAATACGATGCATTTATTAATAAATTGAGGGCGGAGAGGAAGGTGGACAGCTGGAGTCTAACCAAGTATGTCATGTGGCCATGTTCTTATATCTCTTACCAAGAAACAGAACATAGAGTTTTACAAAGTTCTGTTGCTTATCCTGAAGGGCTGCTCCTGTGGTTAAAGTGCAGTCATGGTTATGGTACACGAGGGTGGCAGTGAGCCTGCCGGGCGGGCGCCCCGGGGGCTTTGGGTAACACAGTGCTCTTCCTTACACAGGCTACACCTTGGCTCCCAGTGGCACGGTGGATAACTTTTCCGACTCCGGCCACAGTGAAATTTCTTCCAGATCTAGTATTGTCAGCAACTCCTCTTTTGACTCCATGCCAGTCGCCCTGCATGATGAGAGGAGACAGAGACACTCTGTCAGCATCGTGGAGACGAACCTTGGCGTGGGCAGGATTGACAGAAGAATCATGATTGAACCAGATCAATACAGCTTAGGGTAGGAATTTTATGTGTATATTTGTATTATGCTTTCACATAGCATGCTGATGTCTTCTCTGTGTTTGTTCATATGACCTTTCCTTTTCTTTTGTGAATATTTCTTCTCCCCTCTTGAAAAACACTATGTGAATATTGAATCTTACAATAATGCTCTATTTTCTGACCAGAAAATGTTACATGCACCCCAGCGTGTCTTCAGCAGTCGCAATAAGCCTTTGCTTACTGCTCTTTATTTTCCAGGTGTGCAGTGGTGCTGTAGATTATCCTCGTCATGTGGCCAGCTAGTATTCTAGCTGAGTTAGCTGATTGTGTGCATATGTTGTCATCGAGTTGCTGAGTGAGAACAGAAATCTTGTGTTCTCAGAAAAGTGTGGCTCTAACTCGCACCTCTCCCACATGGCTCTCTTAGTCAAAAAAGTTTAAATAATTGAAAACTAAAATTCACATTAAGACTGCTGGTTTTCTGGGTAATTTTCTAGGTAATTCATTTTTATAGTAGTGAGGGAGCCAGCGCTGTCAGTTCTCCAGATCTGTAGCACTGAGCCTTGGTCTGAAAATGATTGGAGCCTCTTATCTGAAAATAATTGTAACTTAGTCTCTGCTTGCTTCTCAGAGATGATGTTTGGAAACTTCACCTCCCTGGATGGCTTTAGACTTTTAAGCCTGAGGGATGGTAGGCCTGTTCCAAAACTTCTCCAGACACTTAGAACCTGGAAATTCCAGGCACTGCAAACTCTTCTGTCAGGCGCCTTAAATGTTTGGAAGACCCAGAGCTTCTGTGTGCCTGCAAGCTACCCGGGAAATCCTGGGAGCTGCTAAGTAGAATCAACAGATAATTTTTGCTGTTGCTGTGAAGCTGATAATGTCAGGCTCATGCAGTAGCTGAGGGGGTTTGTGTTTGGTTTTGGAAGTAGCCTGTGTGTTTCTAAAARTGATTGTCTGATAAACTTCCATTCRCAGGGAATTCTTGAGAATTTGATTTCAGAGTTCCCTAAACTGAAAAGATCCAAAAAACAGAAGCCTGAACTCCCAGTTCTGAATTTCAACTACTGCCTTTTAAAACTTCATTACAACTTTTTGATATTTTTTTTTTTTTTTGCTTTGCCTGTGTCTGGAGAAGTTAAGAAGAGACCTACTGATGTGTCTGGTTACTGATAGTCTGATTACTGAAAACTCTTTTAAAAAAGAGTATTCTGCAATACCAATATACAGCATCTCAGTGCTGTTTGCTGAATGGGAAGCTTCAAAGCTGTGCTCTTACCTTGTAAACTAAATTGCCAGAAATGYTAAGCTCTATCAGAATATCTATCCAGTAGTTACTTTTTAAGATAATTGTAATGGATAGTCTTGAAATGAAAGTAYTTTATACTCAAAATGGAATTAGTCATTGATATCAATGATACTTTATGGGAATTGCATCAGAAACTTCCTCCGTTATGGTGGCTTGTCCCGCGGGTATCTTATTGTTCGTGTTTTCTGCCTGATCTCCGATCTCAACGCTGGCTTTTTCCCCCTCTTCCGTGTCGGTGCAGCTCGTACGCGCCGCTGTCGGAGAGCAGAGGCCTGTACGCCGGCGCCACGGTGCTCTCCTCGCCCAGCACGGAGGAGCTCTCGCAGGACCAGGGCGACAGAGCTTCCCTGGACGCCGCCGACAGCGGCCGCGGCAGCTGGACTTCTTGCTCGAGCGGCTCTCACGACAACATACAGACCATCCAGCACCAGAGGAGCTGGGAGACGCTGCCTTTTGGACACACTCATTTCGATAGCTCGGGCGACGGGGCCGGACTGTGGGCCTCGGGCAGCCCCATGGACCAGCTGATGTTCCCCGATCATGGCACAAAGTATGGCAGGCAAAGCCAAGGTAGGGAGGGCCTTGATCAAGCACAGTCCAGAGCGAGCTGGGCATCCTCAACAGGCTACTGGGGCGAGGACTCGGAAGGTGATACAGGTACCATAAAGCGGAGGGGTGGGAAGGATGTTTCCATGGAAGCTGAAACCAGTAGTCTAACATCCGTAACCGCGGAGGAGGCCAAGCCAGCTCCCGTGCCCGCTCATATAGCAGTCTCATCGAGTAGTACAAAGGGGCTTGGTAAGTTAAATTTCATATACCATCAAGCGTTCTGATWCATTTGTTTATAGTTCTTAGGTTTATTCTAAAAGTATTTTTCTGGTTTTATTCCTAAAGGAAACAAAAAAGCGCCTTTTGGAGTCCCTCCCAAATTTTGCTCTTTGGTAGCATATTTCCTGCTAGGGGAAATACCACTTGTTGCAATTGCATGCTAACTCCTTTGTATTTCTAGAGAGCCTGCCATACAGCAAAGAAACTAGCTCAGCTGCTGGCCAGTATTTTGAGAGGCTGATATATTTAGGCTTGTGCTTTGAAATATGAATTACTCTTCACAGCAAGGCACCATGTTCTATATTTAGATATCTCAATAAATGTGCCCTGATTTTTCAGAAGTGTTTTACTTTGTACATATGTATGACTTGTCTGGTAGTTGTGAATGTTCCTTGCTTCTGAAAATGGGGTCCCTTTGTGCTTACATACAGATATAGATACTTGTCTCTGGACAGCTAGAACTGAAAATTTTCTTAAGAAATTAGAGTTGAAATACATTTATAGCCATTTAACAAAACGAAGATCAAATAATATATAAATAACATGAAGGTGGCTCTGTTGGTGTTGAAGTTTTTTCTCATATTGTTCCTTCTCTGTTTCCCAGATGCCCTTGGGCCATTTGAGACCTCAACATTTTGCCTGTTTCATTTGTTTTATCCCCCTTTTCTCTGCCTTTCTTCAGGCTGATGTGTAGAACTGTCTGAAATTCATTCTGTGTTGGCACAGTTTAAAAAAAAAGAAGTCTGCCAGATTGAGGTCATGCTGAGACTACTCTGATAAATTGCTTTCCATTTTCTACTCAAGTATATTGCTTAGTAATGGCCCATTGCCCCAGAGCATGGGTGCAGGTCTAAATCCCTGAATGATTCAGTTCAGTTCAGGATCTCGAGATGCTGATTCATGCCAGTCTCTAGTTTTACTCTCTGATGCACTTGGTTTCCACCAGGATGTGGAACAAGGGTGCTTCCCAACCTGCCTCTCAAGGCAGTGCTTGCCACTGGTTTGCAGAGACTTCAGAGAATGACCTGCAGCCCTCTGCCTCCGTGCACTTCAGCGTGTGCTTCTTAATGTAGCCCTGCATAATGCTGCCCAGCAGAAGCCACTGCTTTTATATGGACTTTATTTTTTTTGCACTGAATGTACATGAGTCTGAGCTGAATGTATGTTAATRGTTGATGCAGTATTGAATAGAATCATTCTACAGAACTCCTTATGCACTAGAATTATTTTCAGAATTTTTGAATAAAACTCAAATTTCTTTGTGCTTCTTTGCTCAGTGAAAAGAAATTTTCCAAGAAAAAATGCTTTGATTGTATCAGATATTGCTTGGGTTTGCTAATACAAAGGCATTATTTTTAGTCACCAACCTACGTACAACTGTACAAGCTGTACAACGTACAGCTACCACCAAGTAGCTGTAGTCAATTAGGGAAGTCTTCAGTTTCAAAGTCCTAATTAATAATTTTACTTWCTCCAAAATACAGGTCCATAAGACCAATGCCTGTCCGCTGTGTCCCTGCAGATGTTTATAATTCTTAATTTATAAATTTCCTCCCTTTTTAAGTTCCCTCTGTGAGATCTCCAGAGTATGCCCAGAGTGAAGCCTTGTAAAGTCTTGATCAGGTGTAGCTAAGGCCTAACGTGATCCAAAATTTAGATGGTGATTTCTCAGTTTCCTGTGGAGGGTTTTTGTTTGTTTGTTTGTTTTCTGCAATATGTTAATGGCAAGATGGGCTTTTATGCACAAAACCCATCTTCAGAGTGAAAATRGTCGCGCATATGGGGAGATGCCAACATTCCTGGTTGTTGCACTTCCATGCACTCTTGAATCTTATCTGATGATGGTTTCTTTTGGAGTAGTGAATGTTTTATTCCGGACAAGTGACAGAACAGCTTCAGCTGCTAAGTTTGAACGTGTAATTTAGTGGATTTTGTTAGACTAATGCTTCGCTATTGGGAGAATAACTGTATACTGTGTATATTGTATATTCAGGCCTTACATGCTCTTGTACATGCTTATATGCTTTTTCTTAAAACTGCTTATCTGCTGTGCAATATCCAACTATTGTCCTTCTTAATGTTTCCTCATCCTGTGCTCTTGAGTTACTTGAAATTTCATTTTCACTGTTAATTTTTTCTTAGAGCATTTTTCCTCTTACTGTCTCTGATAATGGTGTCTTGATTTTCCTGCAGCACGAAAAGAGGGTCGGTATCGGGAACCACCCCCAACTCCTCCTGGTTATGTGGGAATACCTATTGCTGAGTTTGCTGAAGGGGTTGGTCATCCAGCCAGAAAGCCTCCAGATTACAACGTGGCCCTTCAGAGGTCCAGGATGGTGGCACGGACGTGCGAGACCCACGGGACTTCGGCTCCGCAGCAGCAGCCGCACGGCCAATCCGCTGGCAGGCTGGTGAACAARCCCCAGTGGCATAAACCAAATGAGTCAGATCCACGTCTTGCTCACTATCAGTCTCAAGGGTTTTCCACAGAGGAAGATGGTAAATTTCTTGTTGTTAGATTTTGAGAGTACTGCATGCAAAATGCTCGGTTTTCATTGGCACAAAGCACATGATAGAAATGTGTTCTGCAGCAGCAATCCTTTCCGTAATTTGAGTTCTCTTCTACCTTTCCAAGCTTTTTATATCATAGAATCATAGAATGCTTAAGGTTGGGAGGGACCTCAGAGGTCATCTAGTCCAACCCCCCTGCTCACGCAGGGTCACCTAGAGCACGTGGCACAGGGCTGCATCCAAGCGGGTTTTAAAGATCTSCAAAGAAGCAGACTCTACAGCCTTTCTGGACAGCCTGGTCCAGGGCTCTGTCACCCTCACTGTTAAGAAATGTTTTCTTAAGTTCCTGTGGAGCTTTTGGTGCCTCAGCTTGTGGCCATTTCCTCTAGTCCTATTAGTGGCCATCACTGAAAAGATGCTCACTTTTCTGAAGGAGAGGAATTTAGTTCATCTTAAATATTACGTAAAATATGAGACATAGGTCTACCTTGATCAAGCAAGCAGTTGGCTTGGGTGGCCTCTTTGGAAATGCCTAAAACCAGATCCAACCTTGGATGCCCTGAAATTTTCCRGTGCTCAAAGTACCTACTGCTTGGCACTAACTGTGCTGTTAATGGTCACCAAAAAGTATCTGGCTCTACGGAGAGTGCCTTTTTTGCTCCCCTGGGCACTGGTTGCTGTTCAGGTGTAGATGGCAGTCCCGAGGACTCTCTCTGCAGCTCCAGCTCTGTGGACACTGGGTCTTCCACGCAAGCTTTTCCACACCAGCAGCCCTGTCCCGTTGTGCCACCTCCCTGGCCGACGTGGCCAGCGCGTGTCCATGTCTGGACGCTCGGCTGCGGTGCCACACGGACTGCCTAGACCTGGTCACTGTTTCTCTGTGGAGTGCGGGTATAACTGGATTAGAGAACAGGGCTAGATGCTCAAAACTGGAGCAGGGCAGTGCCCAGATCACACGTCTGAATCTCTGATGTTTTTGTTTTGTTTGCTGGCAGAAAGGCTGCCTTTCCCCTCCTGCCTTGGTTACTAAGGCTTTAGGTGCAGGATAAACTTTGCACCTGAACATGATGAGAAAATGAGAGACCTCCATGGTAGGATTGCCTCAGACTTTAAGAAATACCCTGACACCCTGGGATTTTTTATGTTTTCTTCCCATGACTACTTGAGCTGCAATCAGATTTTACACAATCCTAATTCAAGTAAACCATTAGAAAGTTGTACTTTTTCTGGAGCTGTGTTCAGGGAAGAGCATAAGGAAGAGCTTTATTCAGCTCTTGGATGTCTAGGAGGAGCTATAGCATTCCTCAGGCTATGAGAGCCTAGCTCAGCAGTAGTGATTTATCCTTCTTTGGGAACAGCAGCAAAGAAATACTTTCAGAAAACCTGAATTGTGTAGTCATTCAGGTCATTTTAAACACATGCATAATACCAAACAATGGAAAGCATCTAAGCACAGGACAGGTACTTTCATTCAGTAGCAGTCTTGTTCTGTATGAATTAAATTATATCTTCCCCTATCCTRTTGTGTTTGCAGAAGATGAACAAGTCTCAGCTGTCTAAGACTTGGGACTTTTCTGGATCCAGAGTGAGCCACCTTAAAGGAGAGCACAAGAAGACGTCCCTAGAATAGGCGCCTTGGAACTATAGTTAAAGGATGGTGGACCCATTTGCCTCCTTCCCTGCCTTAAAGCAGCATGGGGCTTCTTCCTCTGCCCCTTCCCTCCTGCCCCTCTCCCCTTGCATGTGAAATACTGTGAAGAAATCGCCCTGGCACTTTTCGAACTGTGTTGCTTGAAATGCACAGTGCAGCAGTCTCCGAGCTACCACTGGCGCTCTCCGCCACGTCACACAGTATCATTCCAAATCCCAAGATCATCACATCAGGATGATTAACTCTGGCTGCACTTCCCAATGCTTGGAAGGGTTTAAAAAAAAAAAAAATCTTCCTTTTAGATTTTTGTCACGCTCCTAGCGCGTGCTCTCATCGGGATAACGAGGTGGGCTGGCTCTCGACTTGCATCCGGCCTTTTTACCTGCGGAGAGAGGAGCGCCCGAGGAGGTGGCTTCCTCCCCGCCGCGTGCGCACAGCACAGCGCAGCCCAGCGTGGTCACCCGCAGGGTTGGGGGGCAGCATTCCCAGCGCCCCAGAGCGCCCCCAGGCCGGGATCCGCGCAGGAGGAGACGCCGGGATCCGGCAGTAGGGCCTGGTTTGAGGGCAGCACTCCCTGCCTGCGTGCCAGCCAAGGAAGCCGGTGCCCCGCTCCACTCGGCGTGYGGCCTCCCCTTCCCAGCGAGGCGGGCCGCACCCCCACCTTTAAGTTATATATGTATTTTTTTTATTTTTATTATTGTTATTGTTATTTTTTACCTTGCAAAGTAGTCATTGAAAGGAAAAGTTAACTGGATAACGTTGCAGTGAAGGCAAGTTGGGATGTCACGGCTCGTGTCAGCTGAGAATGCTGACCTGGTAACCTCCACCTATTGACTCTGGCATTAGGGAACAAACAAGCCTTTAAAACGGTGACAAATAACAAGAAATGCCAGCCCTTGCAATGCAGAAATAGTCACAACTGTTACTGGCTTCATGGAACACTGCATGTGTAGAGAAGGCCAATGTGTAGCAACCACCTGCTCACAGCTGCTATTAACCCTATATTGACTGAAATGACCCTCCCCTCTATTTTTGTGTTGTTTTTGCACAGACTCCGGAAAAGTGAAGGCTGCCAATCCGAGTAGTACTCAAATGTGAGGAACTGCTGGTCTTGGAATTTTTTTTTTTCCATTGAACTCAGCTGATCATATTGATCAGTAGATAAACGTAAATAGCTTCAACTTTTAAAGATCAAATTGCAGTGTTTTTTCACTGTATCAAACAAATGTCAGTGCTTTATTTAATTCTCTCTCCTGTAATCATAGCTTATGTCTATTTGCTTATATATCACATTGTCAATTATGCATTTGTAATTTTACATGTAATATGCATTATTTGCCAGTTTTTATTCTCTAGGCTATGGACCTCATGTGCATATAGAAATACAAAATCCTAGCTYTATCACAAGTTGCACAAATGTTATATAAGCATTAAGTAATGGTAGACCATAGGAYTGCTAATCTCAGTTCGCTCTGTGATGTCAAGTGCAGAATGTACAATTAACTGGTGATTTCCTCATACTTTTGATACTACTTGTACCTGTATGTCTTTTAGAAAGACATTGGTGGAGTCTGTATCCCTTTTGTATTTTTAATACAATAATTGTACATATTGGTTATATTTTTGTTGAAAATGGTAGAAATGTACTATGTTTATGCTTCTACATCCAGTTTGTATGAAGCTGGAAAATAAATAAATATAACATTAATGAAGTCCATATTGATTCTTATGCATTTTACATGTTCCACATACTTGAACAAATTTATGAAAGAAAAAGAAATTCTCTGTGTATTAATATTAAAGGGACATTGCCGAGTGATGCAGGCAAAAATTGGTGTGGAGTATTTTTTTTCATCTACAGTTTATTTTTTTAATCATTTTTGAAAAATTGGTGTATATATTGCTGAACGTGACTAATATATTGTGCATCCCCAGCAAAAATACTTCACATGCCAGAAGGGGGSAGTTCCTGCAGAAATGATCTTAGATGTCTATAGTATGCAGACAATTTTTGAGGAGGGAGGGATCATGCTCATGTGCTGTTCCATATGTTTTAGAAGTAAGGAATGCATATTGTGAAATTGAAATAGGGAGAAGTATGGGAAGGGCTCCTCGTGAGTTCCTCCCGAAGAAGGTATTTCAGGTGATAATAGGTCACCTAATAGCATCCCTAATAATAATAAAACTTAGTGCTAACTCAATGTCAAAGCTGTACATTATTTTTTCAGATGTTAGCTTCTCTATTCCATTAATAKGCAGAAGCCTGGGCAAAAATGTCCTTGCTAAAGCCATTATCAGCTGAATCCCATTTAGCTTTAAAATGTTTGGCAGGCATTATTTCCAAACTTAAAGTTAGCTCATTGGAAAGAAGAGCAAYGAAATGGTCTATATGGATTTAACTCTTCATAGCATAACTCTAGAAATATCTCACATTTGTAAGAGAAAGAGTCAAGGTCATTGAAAATACAGAACTGGTATACTTTTGTGTTTCACCATTAGAATTTACCACTTAAGGAAAAAAAAATATTGGAGGCCATTAGAGTTGTATGGTTTGAGAATGGAATTAGTCTACATTAATCTGTGACTAATACATTTTGGGTGCATTTCAAAGCAGAGAACTACTGTTAATTATGACATTAATAGAATTGAAATGCTATTTCAATTTTTGTATATGACATGCAGATTTGTCTTTTGGTAATACTGGCAGTGCCTTGCTTCCTTTGAGGTGTGTGAACTGGTTGTGCACTTGTTGACTTTTGTCCATGCTTTGCATCATATGGCGTTGGGCCGTGTTTCCTGCCCGCTGGTGTATGCCTGCTGCCCTCTGGAATTAAAATCTTCAGGACACATCTGAGGTAGAAACATCCTTACCACTCATTGTCCAATTCACACAGTTAAAATTTATTGTGGGCTGAGGAGATGTAGAACATTCACCACAGCAAACAGTCCAATAGAAGTAAAAAACTTTGTTTATACTGTGACTTAAGTAATACATTTTATCTTTTTTAGTATTTGCGGTATGTGTTTTTACTTGGTGTGCAGAGGYAGCCAGATGCAGCTTTCATGCTTAAGCTCGATCATCTGGAGAAGCATGCATGTTTTACTGGTGTAAACCTGGAACAAAATGCTGGGCCCCACTGAAGTGGTGCACAATGTTGTTTTTGTTATTTTAGTATTATTTAATACCTAAGAAAAGAAAGGGRAAAAAAAATCTGATTTCCTGTATCATCTGGATTGTACAAAAATTGAGACAAAAAGTCTCTCACTGAAAAGGTTCGTGTAGGATCAGCACCTGTTTAACCATTAGTAAATAAGAGAGGTATATTGAGAAAATCTGGACATTGTTAAAACTATTCCGAAATTCTGTTCACCCATTCAGAAGAAAGCAAGTGATGGAGACAATCAGTGCGGTTTGGTCACCTATTCCTACATCATCCTGTAAGTAAATATTAAGTCTGTGCCTAGAAATGGCTTCCATTCAGAGAATACTCAGAATTATCTTATTACTAACATGTGACTGAACTCTCTCCCCCCCCCTTTTTTTTTCCTCGAAAAATGTGGTAAGTAAAAGTGAAGATTTTAATGGAATATGAAAATTTTCAAAGCTCTAGGTGGTTTGTATGCAGCAGCTTTCACATATCCTTTACGCTTGTACCAGGTAGCAGAATATCAGCTGTTCTTCAAATTCACCAGTTGCCATGATCATTTTACAAGAATAAGCCAAGACTGAAAATATTGAAGGAATTTGATTATTGGTAACTACCATCTGCATATAATAGTATTCTCTATCCCGAGGCTCATTTTGAAGTATTACTTAGAAGTGCAGGCTTCTCTTTCAGTGTGGATGTATTGAACTCAGTTTTCTGTTCGGTGATGCTTRTGGCTTGACACTCTCCGTCTTTTCTTCCAGTGTGAACAATTTGTATTTTTGTGTTGTGGATCCTTAAATGGATCACCTTGTCCTATGTAGCCTAACCTCTTAAAGTAGGACCACTCTCTTTATAGTGGTATTACTCTTACTGGCAATAAATCTGTGGTACTGGTATATAAATATGTATATAATTATATGTAAGTAAAAATATTAATGCAGCTTCCATTTTTTTTTAGTGAATTATCTGCAGTGGAAAAGAAGTAGCTACAGCATTATTCAAAGGCATTTGGGGGGGTGTAGCTCATAAATCTTTTTGTTCAGTGAAACTTGCAYATGTTTTAGCTGTTGTCTCCCATTCAGAAATATGCTGATGTGCAGGTGATACAGTGCGTTTTTAATCAGTTTCAGAGCTTTTCTTATCACTGGAGAAATGCAAGTTCTTTGTTAGTTTCTGTTCTGTTTCTAGTAACAAATAAGATCTTGTGAACTGCATTTTTTTCTGTGTTTTGTTTTTCTGACAGAAGGTAGCTCGTGTGGCAGTCCTGAAGCAGCAGGGAGCCCTTACCTAGTRTCTATCATAAACCTGTTTGGAGAAAAGATGCGTTTTGTTGCCATTATTCCCAACTGGATATCTGCTCCAGAGCCCCAGTAGCTCAAGTGCAACGAACCTGCAGTGTTGCAGGTTTAACATGAGCTCTGTTCTTGCCTCAGACGTGATCCTTGAAGCTGAGGAGTTCTCTTCCTTCTCGTCCTTTACCTATGTCTCATAGTAGCCATATGCTCTTCCTGCATATCAGGTTTTTTAGCTGAGACTTGACTGAACAATTTTTGCCAGCTTTGGTCTGTAAGCAAGACTGAGCATAAACTTACCTAAATAATTAATGTTCAGATGATTATGCAAGTAAAATCATCAGCTTCCTAAAATTTTGCCTACCTCAGTCCAGATGAAGTTCACCTGGCAAATAACCTTGAGCATATGTTAAGATTTCATAGCACGACCTTTACTGGATTTACTGAAAATTCACGTCTATAAAAGACTTGAATATGCTCCGTGAATGTGTTTTAACAAAAATTCATGTTTTCAGTACTTTGTTGAGTGAGAAAGGGCATGTTTAGCTGCTCCCTCTCTTCCCAGCTCCTACATYCCTTCTCCTCCTCCTGCCTTCTCTGTTGTTCTTTAAATGCACAATTCTCCCTCCCTATTCATCTCTTCCTGTTGCTTATATTAGCTGCCTTCTCACACAGCTTCTCCTGGCTTCTTTGTAAAACACGTTCCCACCCATTTCCTTCCTTCCAAGATGTGTTTTTGTGTGTTATCTTCAGGCACAATGGAAGGAGGCACTGCCAGGCCTCACCCCGCCAGGGCAAATCCAGACTTATTTCTTTGTYTTACCCTTTTTCCCAGTCGTTTCCTGAAAGTTGACTTTTCCGGCATTATATGCATGACTGTAGCATAGCATTTGTTTTGCTGTTCTTGTGGTAGTTACAACTTGACAAGTACAGATTCGCTTTGGAAGACCTAAAGCCACGTTACACAGTGTGTAGCTTGGGCCTTGGGGCTGAGGAGCTGAGAGGGGAGCACGAGCAAGGAGCTGTTTCCTGGCAGTACTTCTCAACTCTAAACAGTGATCCCACATTGAAGAGGGCTCTGTGGTTTAAAAAAAGAAGAAAAAGTAAGCAAACAAACACAAAAAAAACGGCCTGTTTCATAGTGGTTTTTCATCACATTTCTGCTATTTGTAGTCATGTTTAATGAGTGCACGTTCTCTCTTTCTGGGAAAACATTTCTTTCTTATTTCCTTTTGGATAACTATCCTTAATGACCTGGTTGAACTACCATCATGTGTTAGGACATTTGGTTGGTTGGTGTGGCTGTATTCTGGTAATTCAAGAGGTTGACTTTCCCGAATGATGAACATAGACAACTTTTTCTTGCATAGCTTTGTGTTCAGATCCTATCCATCTCCTGAAATGGACATGTAGCATGTTTATTTAATGCTTTTGAATTCTTCCTGCATCTCCTGGGTTTCCCGGGGAAGTCATCCCACTCCCTGGATGTTTATGCTGCAGAGCTATTTGGATAAGGAGCCAGTTAGATGTACCCTTCTTTTGGGGGCTGAGAGAAGTAGGATGTGAGGTAGCAGGCAGAGTCAGTTTGAAGTACTTCCCACGCCATAGTAGTTTCCAAATTGTTTAAGAGATATAATATCTTTAGGCATTTATTATGTTACTTTCCTCTGAGGGGATTAGATAGAGGCTTGCAGAGATCAGCAAGTGTCCTGTAGCTGCAGCCAATTTTAATTTCATTTTCCTTGTCCTTTCTGGCAGGCATTTGTTATTGCGGCTGTACTTTCCTTCATGCTGTCTCTGCATCCAGCACATCAAAATGTCATCAGTTCTGGGCAAGGCTCCCTTATTTGCCTATCTGGTTAATATACTGAGCACAAATATAATTTCAAAATTGCGCTCTACTTGCAGAGAATGTAGCTGCTCTTCTTATTCCATAGCATTATTCGGTGTACGTGACTACCTTTCCATACAAAATGATTTTTCACAAGGAAAAAAATAAGTGATACCATCTATAATTGTTATTAATTGGGAATGAGTTGTTTTAATGTCCATTTAAG